TCCAAGGCTTTTAATAAAATTAATGATTTTAAAACTTAGTAATTAAAAAAATTAATACTGTTTTATAGAATGCTTTAGTATTTGACTAGATAAGCAAGTTAATATAATACTATTATAAATTGTAGCAGCTTATGCTTGGATTTGGAATTTTCTATTTAATAATACTACTTCTAAATCTTAACCTAACACTAAAAAAAGCTAATAAAAAGTTTTCAAAAAAATTTTAAAATTTTATATTAAAATAATCTAAAATTCCAGCTTAAGCTATCATATTTATTATTATTATTATTATTATTAAATAAATTTTGTTGTTAGATACTTGCTAATCATGATGAATCAATTACTAATGATGAAGTTAGAAATTTGATATCTAATAAAAGTTTTTTTACTACCTGTCATTTTGTATGCTTAATGTGGGAACCTATCAAAGAAATTATTCATATGTTAGAAGCTAATATTACGATCTTAGCTGATTGCTTTGTTTATTTGATTAAGCTAGCCACAGCAATTAATAACTTATCTGAAACAAACAGTTTTAAAAGTTTAGCCATTCATGTTTTTAATCGGCATTATGAGAAATTTTTGCATCCACTTTATATTTTAGCCTATTATATTCATCCAGAATATAGAGGTAAGATTTTTTATAATTGTTTGGAGTGTGGCAAAGAATCCAGTTGTTTGGCACGTAATATAAAATTATGATTAGACGAAATAGTGATTCTGGCTGATATAAAAAAAAGTCAACTAAAGCAAATTATCTAGCCAGTTAATTTTTTTTAAAATCAGCTAATAGATTTTCTTAAGACAAGCCAATAGTCTAAAGCTATAGCTTAAGCCAAAATTAAAAATTATTTAAAAAAAACTACGTAGAATTATGCTACTCCTGAAATGGAAAATAAACAGCCTAAAATAAGCAGTGATGAGACAATAATTGAGAATGATAATTCGAAAGACTCCTATTTATTGGCTTAGGGTGTTTTCAAGCATCTTCTTTAATTTTATTGACCAGTGATCAAGGTTTTGCACAAATACTAAGATTAATTGAATAATCTTTATAGCAATTTTGCCAAAGATTCATGGTGCAAAATGCGAATATTAAATTTTAGCCAACCAGCATAACTCTATTATAAAAAAAGATGGGTTTGCCCATCTTTTTTTATTGCAATGATAGACTCACTTGGCTAGCTCAAATATTTTTTACTATATAATTAAAAATTGAACTGATATATTAATTTAGGTGCTTGAGAAAACTTTTAGTTAATAAATAATAATCGATCAGGATCACTATCGGTTGTTTAGCATATGATATATTTCTGATTGGGTGAAAGCTACTGTATTATATTTTAGTTTATATTTTTTCTAATAATTTATTGATCAATTTAAAATCATTCATTTTTTAGAAAAAGGTTTAAAAAACCAGGGGTTTCATAAAGCAGCACTCATCTCTCTTGAGCTTTGGCAAAATCTTGGCTATACCCAATCAGAAGGTGAAGAATTGATTGCACAATTGTGCCATTTTGAAGCACGTTTGCCACCATTTGACCTTCTCTATGTTGCTAGTATAGACACACCAAAAATTTGGTAAGTTTTTTCAAGAATCAACCTCAACATTTAGCTGAATTAGCACACAGGATATTTTCAATCTGCCCTATACAAGCCGGCTATGAGAGGAATTTTTCAACATTAAAGTGGATTTTGGAAGAGTGACGAGTAGGCTTGGGTTTAAATAAGCTGGAAGGAATAGCAAAAGTTAGGTCATATTATATAACTAACATTCGACGTGAGCTAAGTTTTTTCGGTAAAGAATTGAC